TATTTTTTCTTGTTTTTCATATATAACTCTATATAAAACTTTATATCTAATTAGTTTTTATTTTATGGATGGAGTCTCACTATGTTGTCCAGGCTGGTCTTGAACTACTGTGCTCAAATAATTCTCCCCCCTTGGACTCCCAAAGTGCTAGGATTGCAGGTGTAAGCCACCTCACCTGACCACGTATTTTTTTCTCTCTGAATATAATGTCACCTCCTGCTCCCGCTTGCTCTTTCTTTGGTTGCAGTGGGGAGTGCAGCGAAGGCAGTGGGGTCTGCTGAGTCCCCACACCTGAGTCCCGAGGCTCCCAGACTAGGGTGGCTCCACTTACCCAAAGAAGAGAAGAGCAGCACAGCCAGGATAGGGCTGGGGCTGGATGAGGGAGCCCCAGGAGCCATAGCTGGGGCAGGGGCAGGGGCCTGGAGCGTCTGTGGGGTTGAGAAAGTGGGGAACCAGGAACTGAGCGGGGGGTTCCTGGAACCCGCTTAAAATCCCCTGGGGCCCCAGCATGAGGAGGCTGTCCTCAGCCAGTAACCAATTGCAGCCTGGCATGTGCAGTTGAGAGGTGGTGGGGAGGGGGACAGAGTGCAGGGAGCAGAAGGGGCATTGTATAGTCTGGGTGGAGGGGTGGGGGGACACATACCACCCCATACACAGAGGGCTTTGTGTCTACTGGCCTCTCCCTGTCCCAGGCTGGAATGTTGTGGGGGGGCTGGCTGGTGAGGGAGAGGGACAAAAACAGGGACACAGACAGACTTCTCTGAGGGACAGATAGGGAACCTCAATTTAAAGGCCATATAAAGGTATTCCTCCTTAGCCTCCTTGCCTGAGGGGCTGCTTCAGAGCCCTAGGAACTAGAGGTGGGTATAGAGGTGGGTATCCCCCAGAGAACTCTGAAAATAGGATATCCCTTGTTATCTCCACTAATGTGGGCCACATTATGGACTTCTTGAGATGACCAAGCCCTACAGGAGTTTTTTCCCCTCACTTCCCTGCATCCTGCATGATTCTTCCCAGATAGAAGTTTTTCCACCGGACTATTTCCCGCCAAGAAGCCTCTGACCTTTCCCTCTTTGTCAAGGAGTCCTTCAATGCCTGATGCTGCTATTTAAGTCAATTTCAATTTATATCAAGCCTACAAAATTGTATTGAGTGCCAGCAATATGTAAAGTATGAGAATGCAGGTAATAGAGAGAGGAATAAAAATTAAGTCCTTCCTGCAAGGATTGGAAAATTTGGTTTGGGAGGTGGAAGTGGGAGGGTCAGAGGACAAACCCATCAACAACCAACTATAATAAGCCGTGATGCTTCCTTTAGTAATAAACAAAGCTCCTGGAGTACAAAAGAGGACACACACAGCTGCAGCATCAGAGAGACTGAGTAAGTTATATGAGAAATTAAAGACAAAACAAACTTTATTCAATAAATGAAGTTTATGTCAGGCACAGTGGCTGACACCTGTAATCTCAGCACTTTGGAAGGCTCAGGCAGGAGGATCACTTGAGTTTGGGAATTTGAGACCCACCTGAGCAACATAGTGAGACCTCGTCTCTACTAAAGTTTTTTTAAAAATCAGCTGGGCATGTTGTCGCATGCTTGTAGTCCCAGCTACTGGGGAGGCTGAAGCAGGAGGATCGCTTAAACCTGGGAAATCAAGGCTGCAGTGAGCTATGACTGCGCCACTGCATTCCACCCTGGGCTACAAAATGAGACTCTATCTCAAAAATAAATAAATAAACAGGCCGGGCGCGGTGGCTCAAGCCTGTAATCCCAGCACTTTGGGAGGCCGAGGCAGGTGGATCAC